TTTATGAGAGCAGAGGGAGATATACTTTCCCCTTGGTAATTTACTGAACCTAAACAAAATGGTGGATATATTTTGGAAAATGCAACCGAGGCTGAAATGCAAATTGTCTACGCAGAATGTATTTTGGGTTTAAGCACTGATTCTGAACTTTTCACATTGTTGTTTGAAGGTTATCGCAGTGAAACACAGCCACAATTTGGTTTATACTTCGAATAAAAGCAAAATATATTCAAGTCAACTCAACTTCAACTTGAATGCTAATAATCAGCTGCAAAACTTCAAATATTATAAGAGTCACATGAATAATTCAGTATCAGAGACGCTCGCTTTCGGGACACTGTTGATTGGTGTAATCACATCTCATCATAATGGAGACGGCAACGGAGAAATTCAGATTCAATATTTGGCAATCGCGCCTGTGGAAAAGGATTTGTATTATTTCATTTTTTTTTTTGTATTATTATTATTTATTTGTAAATGTTACTGTTGTGCAGAAAGCATGCATCTATATCAAGAGAACTTTAGTCGAGAATTTTCACACACAAAAAAATATACTAGTAAAGCAATCATCAGGGGAAGTTGCAAAAATGAAAATACTTTGACATGACTGGTCTTTTATTCTCAGAGAAAGCCACTTCAGGCTCGGAAGGTTGTTTACAATGATTCCACACTTACATGGGAAATGTGAATTTGAATATCTGGACTGTTGTGAATGAACTCTTTCTGATGTTTATGTTTTTAAAGCAGAAAATGGGGTTAAAAGAAAGTCACTAACATAATGGATGTTTATATTGAATATGAATAGGAATATATTCTGGAAGATCTCTTCTTAAGTATGTGCTCAAAGAACTGCAGCCTAAAATCTCTTGTGCTACACAAGAAGTGTCCATAAACGGCTCGTGCATTGCAAATTTGGATTCTCCAGTTTTCACAAAGGTCGAAGTTTGGGTATAATCTTCTTCCCTTTGTAGTCGTAAACTTTTCCCTTTTAGCTTTGAAATCCATTGTATTTTTTATATCTATTCACACTTTTCTGCACCAAACTCGTCCACTCTATTATAGCTGCTCGAATGGAGCAAAAGCATCACTGGGGAGGAGGCTCGCCATGCTGTTCTGTGAATGCACCTAGAAGTTAGTTCCCACCCTCTTGGTCTACTGCACATGTAACAAGAGGACAGGATGTAGCCACAGTCTCGTGCTATCTCTGTGTCGTCAAACCCCCACAAGGGTCTAACAACACACTATTATCATATGATTATATACTGTAAGACGTTATTTTTACGGTTTATTATTTGTGAGAGATGATACATAAAATAGAACAGCATTGTTTGTAAATTTTAAGCCACCCATCCAACATCTTGTCATCGATGGACACAACTTAAAAGCTGTACAGTGGTCCCTCATTTATTGCGGGGTTTACTTTTTGAAAACATCCTACACTAGGCTAAATAAGTGTTTAAAAGCTGTAAAATCCCTCACCACACACTTTATACACTTTTCTAAGCACCTGAACTCACGACTGCTGAAGTGCAATCACGGAGATATCAAAACTGTTGGTTGTAGGTCTGAGTGCTGCTGCAGCCGTCAAAAGCCGTTCATAGCCACACTGAGGGGCAGGAGCCGGACTGAGGGCTACAGGAAGACCGCGATAGTCCTGTGAATTAATCACTGTGGTGCACAAAAGACACAAAAGTTTTCTTCTAACTTCAATAAAGATAGTTGTCATGTAGCGGTTATATGATGTGCGCATGAGAAGCCTACACACACAAAAAAAACAGCAAAACAAAAGCACTGTATATAGCTTCTTTAGGGTGCCAATGTTTTCACAAAGCCTCAAAGATTGTCTGTGCAACAATCCTCAAGGATACAGTGATGTTGTGAAGGATAAAATAAAACTGAACAGGACGGATAACTAACATTTCAAACAGCACAATTAAGCTGTAGCAGACAGATCATCGCCGTTCCAATGCAAGGCCAGCTGCCACTTTGACGACTGCATTTACCATTTCCATTCAACGCACCGCCGCTTCTGAAGCAGCGCTGCCTGTCCAAGACGGACGCGACGAGTGGCTATAGAAGAGGCTCTTTTTTGGAGGGTGTGACACATTAGGAGACAAATTCATCGGGAGCGGTGTGTGTCATGAGCACGGGTCTGTCTGCTCCACGCTCTTACCCCGGGGATAGGGCCCCTCGTGTGGGCAATGCGAGCCGACAGGAGGTGGGCGACATGTAGCGGTGGTGGATCAAAGACTCTGACAGGTGACAGCGGCATCATGGAGGTGAGATATATCGGGAGAAAGACGGAAGGAGGGGGTTTGGGGAAGAAATAAATTGCAGTCATAATAGAACAACGGATGCCAGGTTTGTCTTTTCTATAAAGCAATGGGGTGTTTCTGAGAGATAAACGTTGATTCTGCAAAAGTACTTTGAGATAGACCATAAGAATCCAACATGTTTTGCACACACTGATGGATAAAACTAGCTTTACTGATTTGGTTTGTTCCAGGAATATGTGTAGGATATGGGTGAGCTGATTATCTTATACAATAGTGTCTTTACCTAAGTATGTTCTGACAACCGATTATTTTGACTCCTTACCTTTTTTTTTTTTTTTTGCTGCATGAAATTTACTTTTATTACAGAATCAGTTCAAATACACAGAATCACAGTTGTTTAGAGCCAGGATGTAATTCATGATGTTTCTGGCCTGCTTTAAGCGTTTCAAGTGGTTTTCTACATGACATTCACTTGTATGTTGTTGTCTGTTGTACTTTCTTTCTTCCACATACTATTTGGCAGAATTCAGCAAGTATTGTCACATCCTCTGCCAGTAAGAAACAATGTCGCAACAGTATAATGATGTTTACGTTTTTCAAAGGCTTAAAATGTCTCGAATGAATATATTGTCTGGCATTGTACGTTTTTCTTTAAGTTCTTCAATACTTGGAGCAGGATTACTATTGCGACAACACATCATCGGTAGGGAAAAACTAACCTGACAATCCATAGCATGGTTCACAATAAGAAGAGCGGCCATCTTAAAGGTGCATTATGCAACTTTTTATGTGAAAATACACGTTTATATTTTTCCAAATTTAACACAGCGGGTGTAAGAGTAAAGCCTTTGCTCGGGGTTTTTAAAAATGTCTCTTCCTTCAATGGATTTGTGCTCTGTCTGCTTGGTTCAAAGCCATCTTCTCTGCTCTGGTTCAGTGCAAAACTCAGACTGAAGAAAAAAATTAAAGACGGAAAAAGCAAACCTATAATATGATTGTATCGCAGCAAACTTTTTCAGAGCTACTGCAGTTGATTCCAGTGCATTCAAGATGTCGATGTATGTTTATGATCATCTATTGACATTTATAGACATTGGTCATCTGCCCCTTACGGACCAATGACTCAATGTGTTTTTTTTTTTTAAAGCAATGTAATTTTTAATTCTCTGATCCGTATTGGCAAATCCACAACTGTGTAAAGTCCTCAAAGATAACTACAAAAATAAATGTAATTGAAATGAGAATTTTACATACCATCTCTTTAAAAATGTACAATTACTAATGAGACATAGAACAGGTACACTATAAACAATTTGACTTGGCAATATACTCTTTTTGCGATATTTCACTGGCAGCAAATGACAACCGACACACCACATAGAAAGAAAAAAATAACTTCTACTTTTCAGATATTACAACGATATATTGGAAGGAGCATCAGAGCACTCTCCGGATCCGACACCTCTCCCCTCTCCTCGCTGTGTGATAAATCGGCGGGCACATCAACACTTCTGCCTGCATAATCTGCAGTGAATTTTCATACAGTGAAATAGACAATATTTCACAGATGATCTTCTCGCTGCCTCACATTTGCAATTCTATGGTTTTCCTTGATTCAAATCTATGCATTTTCCGAGAAACTGTCTGGTGGAAGTTATATCTAAATATATATACCTCTACAGCGGCCCTCATCCAAAGCTATTAGACTGTTTACAGGGAGAGGTGTGTCTCGATTTCAATATACGTTCAATCTAAAAATGTGATTAGGATCTTTAGGGCCATCTGTAGGTCTGGGAGCTCCAAAACATCCCCTATCACAGAATATTAACACAAAAACAATCAATGAACCAAGTAAAAGAGTAAAGTAAAACTATGATATGTCGGAGGAATAACGTTGAATGAATCCAGTGGAAAAATAACACAAAGATGCATGAATAACTAAAAACAATTTCAAGAGCTTAGAAATATTTGTTTTGCACAATCACAGCCAAAGAAAGAAGAGCTCTAAACAAGGGGCTCTGCTCTGACAGAAGACTGTGAGCTGTGAGCTTCCTGTTCTGGAGGTTATTTATGATCCAGACTCTTAAACTAGGCTCTTCAAATAATCAAAGATTTTTCTGGCCACCCCGGAAAATCCATGTTCCAGCTTCTTCCCTCTGGCAGAAGATATCATTCGTTGAGATGCAGGACATCTCACTTTGCTAACGACTTCTTTCCACAAGCTGTTATCAGTTAAACAAAGCACATTACTGATCTTGCACTTGTATTGAAACTATATATAATATATATAATATATAAATATATATTTTTACAATGACAATTGTTTTTGTACCTTTTTAGCTTGTTTTTTTAATGTAACTGTCTGGTGCACACTGGGGACTTTCACATTTGTATTCCAATGTGGTTTGATGCCAGTGAAAAAAATAAAATCTGAATCTGAAAAGAGAATAGAAAACAATTCTGGAACAGTCTTCCTGAAAATGTGAGACAGGCATCCTCTTTGACAATGTTCAATTATTCTGTTTAGCTGTGCAAACAACTGTCTGTACCTAGTTTTTTTCAGCACTTTGAGTTGCCTTGCATATGAACTGTGCTATACAGATAAACTTGCCTTGTCTTAACATGACCAAATCACCATTCAGTTGAAGGCAGAAGAGAGGCCTTATCAAACAAACTAGACTGAACCCTAACATCTAACCGTCCCCTGCCCTACATAAGCCTTACCTGCACACTTGGTCCGGCTGACCAGCGGGGGTCCTGGTGCCCCGGTGCCCCCCTCTCCGGGCCGGGTGAGCAGTACGCTGATGTGGTACTCTGTGTCGGGCTCCAGGTGCCACACTTTGTAGGTGAGGGAGCCCACGCCGTGCGTCTCCAGCCAGGTAGACTGACTGGCCCGGTACTGGATCTCCCTACGGATCACCGGACCGTCGCCCACGATGGAGTTTGTGTTGAGCTGGATGATGAGGTAGGTGGGACCGGCGCGGAGCAGCTGCGGAGGGGCGATGGGCGTCGGCGGCACTGGAACAAAAGTAGGGACTTGTAAATCTGTGTTGTGTTGAAAAAGTTACATTTGTCAGTCGTGAGCCAACTGCGTAAAATGCCTTGAATGTTTTGGAGTTTTTTTCTTAATTTTGTTTTTAAAAAATAGTTATAGTTTATATAGTACTTTATTTTTATTTTTAAGTAGATACTCCATGCTTTATATTGTTATGGTAAAAAATTCCTTATTTTCAAAAACACTGCTTTTTAATTAACATTTGGATTTTATTTTCTGGTAGATTTTTCTCAACAAAATTAGTTCAGGTGTTGTTTGTTTGGACTGAACCAAAATTGGACCAAATGTGAAGGAGGTTTGTATTTGCAGAATGATTGGCCAATGATTTGTGATTGTAAGTCTAATTATGTATTCAACATTTTGAATATATTCAATGACATGGTTGAGTTTTAACATTCTCACATTTAAAAGTCTAACATGCTATTATCATCAGTGCAAGTTCACCTCATGAGGCGTAAAAACATGTGACTAATATCTCTAGCTTTGCACTTGAGTTGTTACTTCACACTGCTGAATGTGAGCTGAAGTGCACAGTTGATTATCTAATGTAATACTTCCTGCAGATTTTAAAGTGATAATCTGTAACTCTAAATGAATTACACATTTTAGGAAATGTGTTAAATTGACCTCCTGGCCTTAAATGTTGATATAAAATAAGTAATTTTATTAATTCTAATATTACGGGCAAGTCCCGCCTTCCCTGCTCTTAGCTATAGTTCAGAATCCACGGTGCCATCAAGGTTAACCAATCGAGTCATGCCAAGGGCTGTCAATCATCGGCGCTGATGCTCGCAGCTGCGCGCATGCGCAGTTGTTTGTTTTCTGCGGAGCCTCCGAATCAAGCCTCTATTAGGCTCTGGAACTACATGAAAACTGAACAAAGAATTCTGAACATCCACGCTGAGGTACTTATGTATATACTGAACCTATATCTATAATCAGATCCTCTGCAGATGTGTCCTATAATGTGCAATTCATGATAATAGCACTTCCTGGTTTGCCGCGATCGCTTTTTTGTGTGCATAAAAACATATTTTTTTTCATTAAAACGTTCACAAATAATTCTGAAAACCTCTGTGCATGTGTATTAATAATGTATAATATGTTCTCTGATTAACATTTCAAAGTGTTACGGAAACGTAGGTGTAGACCAATCAAAAAGGAAGGGGGAGGGAGCGTTTTTTTCAAATCAAGTACCTCTCTGTCTCTCTTTCTGACAAACTCCAGACAATCACTTTAAGCAATGACATTTGACTCGGGCAACGTCACAGGTAAAAGTGAAAATGAGGATTTAAATATAGAGGCATGTTGGCTGGAAGCTGTGAAACAGGAAATCTGGAATTGACATTTAGAACACCCTACAGCAAGATATCGGTGCTGAATTTGTGAACAAATAACATCAATGTATTACCAAAACGTAACTCAGTTTACTTATAGTGTGGATATTCCTGAAAAAAACCAAGCAAGTACCAAATGAGGACCTGCAGAGTTTGTAAAGTGTCAATTGGTATAGAAAATGTATCTGTTAATGAATTAATTAGAATACAATGTTTCATGTGCATTTGCAGAGTTTTTATATGTTATTGTCTGTTTTTAATTGCTTGTAAATCACTTTGGGTTACACTGTATGATATGTGCTTTATAAATAAATGTGATTGAACCAATGCCCCCACTTCTGCACATGTAAACACTTTTGCATCTCACACAAACACAGAATACAGGACCCTTGTGTGCACTTTCTACAAGACAAGATGCTGCTTTTCACACTCTTCGTGTTTATATTCTCTCAACAGCGTAGAAGGACATACACGGCTCGTCTAATGAGGCTAACGCAAAAGATAGCGGCTTGAGCTCGGCCATCAACAACTACAGAAAACTATTGAGAATAAGATTTATGTAGCGAGAGTAACTGAAGTGTCCTATTGTGTGAAGACGAACGAAGTAATGGTGTCAGGCCTTGGTCCATGGTGTGCATTATGTGTGCTGTGGTTGCTAGGGACATTGGATTTACAAATGAAAAAGAATGTTAGATTTAAAGCTGGGGTATGTAACTTTCAAACCACAATAAATGGAACCATGTGATACAATCGATATGACTTCTACCTTATGTTTGATATGCATGTTGTGTATAAAAACCTCACATCTATAGATCCAGACCAAACACTAAAAAAGACAGGACCAGCCAATCACCTCTCAAGCCAATGTGTCGGAGCTCTTTCTTGTAGCATGCAAAAGAAAACGTGTTTTCTGTTTTTAATGAGACAAAGATGTTTTGTCTGATTTGTAACATTTTACATTTATGGGAAAATATATTGCTAGTTTTTATGAAAAAAGTTTGAAACTCCAGCTTGAATTTCCTCAAAAGCAGATCATTTTTTGCAAGGCTGATGTAACATGGCATTTGTAGAATGTGGATAATTTCACATTCCACAGCTCTGGAGCTGTGAAAATATCCCAAAATGAAGACAAGTGATGATAACAGTTTGGCCATAAGGTGTCAGGGACAGAAAAAAACAGGTGACTTGAAATATGGCAGGTTTGAATGGACAAGTTATCCTTCTAGAAATATGAATTTGTAAATTTCATCTATTCCTACCAAAACGACTATAATTCCATAGCAGATATAGAGCAACAAGGGCAATATCCCATTATTCATTAGGTGAAAATTGGATGATTATAATAACATTCAAAAGTCAATTTTCTTCTGTGTTTTAGCTAATATATGATGGAGCTATTGCACATCAAGTGAGATATATAAAGCCATTATTTGTTTTAATGGTGAAAATTATGGCTCACAGCTTGAAAAAACTCCCACATACAGCATCTCAGGAAATTATATTTTGAAAATGGACTGCAAGCCATCAACATCACATGTCACATTGCATGTAATGGGTATATATTGGTTGAACATAGTTGAACATAAGTTGAACATAAATAAATGGAAGATATGTTGAAAGAGTTTCACCTGGTTGGCAGCATGGGAAGTTCCAATCAATGGGAATCAACTGAGGCTGTTAAAAAGTGTAGCATAGTTTAAAGTATTGCTCTAGTTTTGCTCTAACAGAGTCTAACCAACACCAACTACGAACTGTTGCTCCAGAATTTACCATATGCACTGATTGGGACAGACTTCTGAAACTCGTTCTGCTTTTCTGCTTACTTCCGAAAAACAAAACTATTCCACACATTTTATTGTTTACAAAAAAAAAAAATAGCCACATTTCTCCGCTTGCACATTTTGCTTAAACTGCCCAAACTGTCCTCAGAGGCAGCAAATGGACCAGTCAAAACCCAATACACTTACTGTTTGCCTGCGAAGCGAAAAGCTATTCTCGGCGGGCTGTCGCATCACATATAACGGAGTGACAAAATAAAATGCAACATCGGAAGAGATCCTATAAGATTCTATGCTCCATTTTATGCATATCTTTAAACCGCGTCATTTCACGGGAAGTTAAGATTCCATTCCGTCCTCTTTAGCGCTTTATCTCGCAGATGTGCCTCCGTGTGACATAACGGCCCTCCTAAATGTCGCTAAATCAAGTGAACTACGGCAGTTTTATGAGGCCTTGCTTTTGTTTTTCTAAAGAATCAACCCATGACAAGTGGAGAGCTCGGCTGCTAAAAGCAATCTTTGATGAATGTAGTCGGCGTAAACAAACAGTGAACTTCTTGCGTCTTGCTGACTCGGTAAGACTGTCTGGTCCGACCCAGGGCTTTCATGTTCTCCTGTCATCCCTGTTCTGGGCTGTATCTTTGTTTAAAACGTTTCATCGTGTGCTGTCGAACAAATGGAGGGATGAGAGTTGATTTTTTTTCTCCTAACCTCAAAACAGCGCATGCATAAACAAAAGATGTCTTAGATAATTGGGTTGGAGCTGCAGTTCTGTTTTTAAGTGGGTTTGAAAGTGTCTGAAAGTAGGGAGTTGGTATTATTATATTAAATATCATAATATCCACAACTTTACCTTGTTATTGCTATACACTCAACAACTCCTTTTGCAAGAATCAAAAGAATGTAGCTTTTGGTAGTGTGTCTCCGTGTAGAATTGATATGTTTCTCCCTTTGTTTTGGTAGGCTTCTTCTGGGTGCTCCGGTTTCCCCCACCACCCCAAACATGCAACCTCCAGCTCTCATAGTCCTGACCCAAACAGAGCATTACAATCTGGAGATGAGCACCCGGGCGCGGCACTGTGGCAACTGCTGCTCCCAACAGGAAGCCCGCGTGGCATTGTGAGATGGGTTAAATAGAGTGTTTTCCCCAGAATAGAAAAAGGAGTATCCCAGCACACATTTCACTGTAGCATCCCCTTCTCTTGTATCTATCAAAATGCTTTTTTTAAATTCATTTTATTTGAATATGATGTTCGATGCCAATTTGTTTCATCTTTACTTAAATGTAAAAACATACAATTCAGAACTAGTCCTTTAAAAACGATTTCACGTTTTCCTGAACTCACTGTATTCCGTGATCCTATTATGCCGTTGTTTTGCAGTTACATGACAGCTAAACGGTTGGCACGCTAATTGCTTGTCTTGATTCTCAAACATTAAAATTAACATTTATTAGACCCAGCTAGCATGACTGTATCATCTGCAGTTTATCTCCCAAGATAACGATGGCATACCTCAAGGATCAGTGTTTTTCCCATTTATTAACTTCTGTACAATACAGATATATTGTAGAACCATACCTCTGACTATGAGCTCTCCAAAATTGGACACCGCCGCTCCTCTGGGCGACAGCGTGACGCAGCGGTACATGTCCTGCTCGCCGCGCTCCGCCTCCACCTGGAATGTTGCCATCAGTCGCTTGTGACTCAGCCGAGAGAGCAGAGGTGGGCCCAGGAGCAAGCCATTCCTCCTCTGAGAAGATACAAACAAAGATTATTGGAACTGAATGTCATGCAGCAGGCAAAAAACTGTTATGGAGGGACAATGAGAGAGTACTGTATGTGGTGTGTGTATGTGGTATCTGCCATACACTTCGCTGCCGTGTGCTGGGCCCCGGATAGCACAGAGCGGGACAGGAGTAGATTTAACAAGATGGTCAGGAGGGCCAGCTCTGCTCCGGGCTGCTCCCTGGACTCTGTGGAGGTGGTGAGGGACAGGAGGGTGCTAAGCCAAAGTCACCTCCATCATGAACAACACCTCCCACCCACTGCACAGGACTGTAGAGGAGCTGAGGAGCTCCTTCAGTAGAAAACTGAGACACCCTCAGTGTAAGAAGGAGCGCAACCGCAGGGCCTTTATCCCCACTGCTGTCAGACTGTACAGTAAGTCACTTTAAGTCACTAATGTACAAGGACTGAAAAAACCTGCACTGCTATGGCCACTCTTTCTTTGATTGCCATTCTTTTTATTGTACATAATGCATCCTAAACAGACTATATTTTTTACCTTGACATGTTTACACACTGCTGTCTTTTTGCACAATCTGAGTGATTCTATCCATGCCAAATGTGACATGTACATTTCTCCAGTGTGAGATCAATAAAGTCTATCTTATCTTATCTTATGTGCAGAGTGATTGATGGCACAACACCTCTAGGGTCAGAAAACGTTTGGGCCTGCGTCTTGTGTGTGCGGTTTGTGAATGAATGAGAAGGGTTGGAGCAAAATAAGCGTCTAATTTGTGTGCATTCTGTATTTTGTTTTTTTGTTGTTGAATAAGTACGCAAGGCCTCTTTTGGGTTTTCATTTAACGTGCCGGAAACCAGAGTTGACACCATAGCATCATACGCTGTACGCCAACGTGTCACCAGCGCCCAGGGCATTCCAGCAAGTGGCACAGCGCGACCCAATATCTCTAAAGCGTCACTCGGAGCGCAGCTTTTCCAGGTGCCGGGACGCAATAGCTTCATCACAGAGTGTAAGCAGATTATTATGTAAGCTGTCGCCCGCATGCTCTTTTCAGGACTAAGTGGCTTTGACGTCTGCGCGTACGGTTGGGTTTGACGGCACGGCAGAGGAGAAATAAATGATGTACAGTGGTGCGGTGTGACTGCCTGCGGCCAAGGATTATAGCTCATTTTAACTCTAACTTTGACATCAATGGAAGTTTTCTTATCTCTTGAAATGGCTGCAAGGGGTTTCCCGGTGTCTGTATTTACATTTTTTATATTTATTTTATTTTAAGTCTTTATTACGAACATCCATCATACAAAACCATCCTCAAGGGCGTTAGAGAATGCGTGTATTCGGTTTTGAATGATTACAAATCTGGGTTTCTGAAAAGCTGTGTTTTAACTTTTTTTAACAGCTTTTTCCTCCAATCTTGCGTTCTCAAAACATATTAGACGAAGCAAAGTTAACTTTTCACAGCTTTTGACCACGTTTTAGTGGTTATCCCATGTAACTTACACTCAGATAGACCTGTAATTGAGCCTAAAATTTAAGCTCAGCCCATAGCCAAGAGGATTCTTTTTGAAGCCAGCCCGAACCCAAAACTGACTACTTTTTCCAAGCCCGAACCCAGCAAGAACCTGTTAATTTTGCTGGTCTACTGTGAACACTACTGGGAGGAGCAGACCCCAGCAATTCTGGAGACTACTCGCCAACAAATCAAATATCAAAATAATAATTAATCACATGTATTATTTTATTATTAAGGACTTGTCTCTTTGGTCACTTTGTTTTAGTTCAACATTTACAGATAGAAGCACATGAAATCGTCATTGACAATTGCCACTGAAAAAAAGTTTTCACAAAAGGCTGATAAGCATGGTCTCTATACAGTAACAGTACTTAGGTCTCCAAGCTTCAGCTCAATATCAAAAGTGCTGCATTTCCTTCCAAGAAGCTACTCCCAGATCACAGAATTGTACATAATATACTTGGCTGTTGAAATTGCTTTAAGAAGCAGCTCTCAGCAATGGCTGTGTTCTTTCATAATTCCTATGGATTTATAGAAGGATGGCTCAATATATAGATATGGTTATTTGTGTAGATAATTTACACTGCCGAATGTTGCTTACGTAAGTTAGCTTGGAAAAGAGGAAAAAATAATAAGAAAAAAACAAACTTCAAAGACACAGCAAGAGCTGGAGCGACAACAGCTCAGAGGCATCATGTAATTGTGCTTTCACATTATACACCCAGTCATTCTCTGTTCTTCCAATGCTGCAATATCCTCACGCACACAACGTTGGGATTGACTATGTCCGATTTCCCGACTTTCTACCATGCTAAAAGCCAAAATCTGGAGCCAACATGTTCTCCTCTCTCTCTCTACTCCCCGTGGCTTCTTCCGTACTGCTCAGTGGGGGTGACTCTGACACACCAGTCAATGTCAGAACTTGTTTATTTGGGGAATTTCTTATCGCTCTGTGTTTGAAAACTCTTTGCGTTGTGTCATGTGAGATGAACCGATCCCTTTTCACATACTCACAGTTTGGAAAAGCTTTTGACCATGTTACAACACCGTTACACATCAAAAACAGGTGTGGAACCAACATGTAACTCAGTCTCGTATTAGCATGATGTCATTGTACCACTATGACATCACACTCTTTTTCTACCTTTTAAAGCAAAAGCAGTGTCCATAAAGAGTTTTTAAGGTGAAATTACATTAATCATAATCACATGCCTGTATTTGCAGCAGGTAATTTTAAAGTTTGGGGGAAAAAAACCACACTCTACATCTCCCTCTGGGTTGAACATTGGGGTGAGGCAGGGCGACAGCATTATTTATGTTCCAAAACAGCCAATTAGGCTCAAGTCAATAGATATTTTTTAATGGTGAAAAAGTATGAGTAATATATATTTTTTTAAATATCAGTACTTAAACTGTAATAAAGGTACAGGATGCATCGCGCAGAAAGATAACTTTAAAGCAAGCTGTTATTCTGCTAGTTGTTATCAGCATTATTGAACTAAAGTGCTCAACACTAATCACTGGGAGTAATTGGGATAGTAGAAATGACAGTTGGACCGGAGGCACGGTAGCTGTGGATAGCACTCTCGCCTCTCAGCAAGAAGGTCCTGGGTTCTAATCCCGGTCGGAGTGGAGTTTGCATGTTCTCCCCGTGCTTGCGTAGGTTGCCTGTACATGCACACTTGGTTAAATCCACCAGCTTCGGTAGTCCTGACCAAGCCGAGCATCAACAACTGGAGATGGGTTCCCGGGCGCTGTTCTACGGCGACCACTGCTCCTGACATATTGATCCCTACGGGGATCAATAAAGTGCACCTTTACCGTTACCAGTTCAAACCATTTATGAGTTGGCCATTTAAAAACAACCTAATGCTATGGAGTAGAGCGTAAGCGTATTCCTATGCAAATACTTTCATAACTTCTACCTCAAAACATGTTGCATATCACAATCTGAAAGGAAAAAAAAAACGTACACGATTAAATAAAACTTTTTTTTTTTACATAAATGTTCAATGACATTAAAGGTCAAAAGAAAAGTTGCTCCTTATTTCTTTTCAACACAAAGACATCGGTACTCCATAAATACATTATACCTTTTTAATTGATGACGCTTATTAACGCTCGGAAGGAACAGGATTTTGATAAAACACTTCCCTTCTTGGTGTACATTGTTAGAGCCTTTATCTCAAAGTTGTGATTTTAATTTTAATAGCTCGTCTCACACCAGCGCCTCCACATCCTCACACTCCGGATGAACACACAGATGGAAATACCATTCTTGTATCCAGAAAAACATCCAGCATAAATCTACCTATCGTTGAAAGAACTGGACAAAGACATGATTGTACCGAGAGTTAAAACAGCACATTGGAACACTCTTTCTGGAGTTATACGTGAACGCAATTCTATAAGAAATGCCTACTATGGAAAAGAGAGGGGTACGAGACACGTGTGTGGCTTACAGTAGGGGCCGGAGTAAATGTTTGAATAATATTTTTGGCCTGCTTACAAACAGCAAGCATAGGCAAGGCAAGGCAAGTTTATTTGTATAGCACAATTCATACACAAGGCAATTCAAAGTGCTGAACAGAACAAGAAAGCATTAAAATCATAAATAATCACAGTACATTAAAAACAAAACAAAAAAGATAAAAATATAAAATCCCTCAGTTGTATGCACAGCTAAACAGAACTGTTTTCAACCTTGTCTTAAACATTGTCAGAGAGGAGGCCTGTCTCACATCTTCAGGAAGACTGTTCCAGATTTTAGCAGCATGAATCTGAAAAGCAGCCTCCCCATGTTTAGTTCTGACTCTGGGCACTAACAGGGGTCCAGTCCCTGTGCTCCTCAGAGTCCGGGCTGGTTCATATGGGACTAACATGTCACTAATATAGTTTGGTGTGAGGCCATGGAGAGATTTGTACACAAGCAAAGCTGTTTTAAAGTCTATTCTCTGAGCCACAGGAAGCCAGTGCAGGGACCTGAGGACCGGACTAATGTGGTCGTACTTCCTGGTTCTAGTCAGGACTCGAGCTGCTGCATTTTGAATGTACTGCAGCTGTTTTACAGCCTGTTTGGACAGACCTGTGAGCAGGCCATTGCAGTAGTCTAACCTACTGGAGACAAATGCATGGATAAGAATCTCCAGGTCTGCTTTAGACACTATGTTTTTGATCCTGGCAATGTTTTTTAGATGGTAAAAAGCTGCTGATGTTACTGATTTGATGTGGCTATTAAAAGCATAGAGATATTAAAATAAAAAAACATGATTATTTTATGATTTTCTTTTAGTTTCATTTTTGATTGTTATTTTGTTGTTTTGTTATTTCTTTGTGTGGGTGTTATCGGGGTTCTTACTTTTGGAAATAAAATACAGTCATGATTCATATTCAATGCTATTTGTAACTCGCTGTTGGGAAATGTAAAATTCTATTACATATTAAAAAGAAAACCTGACTCATTATCCTGGAAGTCTAGGATGTTGAGACA